AATAGCTGGTTTCCAAGTATTGTTTCATTTGTAAGATCTTGCCAGCTTTCACTGAGTGCACAAGTTGAGGTATTTCAAACACTTCACTTTATATTCATTGATTATCGACTTCAACCTCTGGCACCACTTAGCTTTCTGGAATCACACAAGATATGTGCACTATAGACCGATCAAATTGCTGAAAATACTTGAAAAATTGGTCTTTTAACTTAGATGATTATGCATTGGAAACAAACAAAAGAGTTGAAAGTGCTGAGCAGCCTCTCAACTCAAATTTTAAGAGAGCAAAGTTAGAAGACCAGCAACAGCTTTTACTAACTGAAAAGCTGTCCTTATCCTAGGTAAAAGTTTTCTAAAACCTCGTGGTAAGCTATGAACATCTGTCATCAACACCACTCACGAGCAGAGCCACATTTATAAACACAAAACACATTGCAACTGTGTTAAGCTTGAAAAAGAAAAGGAAGTTACTTTCAAGAAGCACTTAAGTTCATGAGCTTAGTAAAAAAAGTCTCTTGGAAACTTTTCTGAGGAAAAAAAGAAAGCTGTTTTTCCCCTCTGCAGTGAATAGAACCCTGAACTTTTGCTAATGGTCAACAGGAGTCATTTTTTACTCAAATCAGTTTGCTTGTTTCTGTATTGAATGAGCAGTCATATGGAAGGAGTAGCAAGTAGGTATCATGGATCATTGGGCTGCTAATAAATGGCAGGAGTCCTAGAAGCTTAGGAAGGAAGGAAAAGAGGAAAGAGCTTACATTAATTTTTTAGCCTAAAGGGAAGTTTTATATATAAAAAATAAAGCCATTCTGACTTCTGATTTATGCTGGAAGAAGATGAGAGGAAACCCCTGGCCTGCCTCCAGGTGAATTACCCACAGAGGGTTCCACACAGCCTTGCACTCCAGTGCAGACAGGAGACTAGAGGTGTCCGTACTGCGGCCATACAACCAGTGTCCATCTCCTCTACTCAGCGCCGTAACCGCTACACACTCCTACCCTGCGGGAGGTGCGACGTCCGCTTGCTCCATCTGCGGGGTGGATTGGCACAACTTCTGGCGGGATGTCACCACCCCTGCTTTCCATAAGCTGAAGTAGACCAGAGGGTGCTCAAGCCTACCTCCAAGGCAAGGCAAGGGAAGGAGCAGAGCTTACAGCAGCTCTGTGGGGCAGGGCGAGCCCTGCCCTGGGGTCCAATGCTCCCCACCGGCCCCCTGCCAGGGCCAGACTTACCTTACCACCTCTCGCCAGACTCATTTGCCACCCAACCCTCCTCATGGGTGATGGAGCACAGCAACTCTCACTCTTAATGGAGTTTTCCCCATTTACCCAGGCAGTAACTTCATTATTTTTGCTATCCCTCATTAGCAATTAACAGCTACCTTTGCAATATGTAACTGCTTTCCGTAAGGTCTGTGTTCTCCCCGCTGATTAGTTGTGCCTAATTTGGTCAAGATGCTTGTTAAATCACTAAGCCCTGTGAGAAGGTCTGCATATAGGAACCGGACCGTAAGAGAATCAGCTGTAATTCCCAGTGCAGTCTTAACACATGGCCTTAATAGGAGGCTGTTTCTCTTCAGTTTTGTGCCATCGGTTTTAAATAGTTGAGTCTTAATCTCCCAATCAATCATCTTCAAAATCGGTATGCTTTAATCATCAATCAAATGCATTTTTATGGGAAGCAGGAAGTATTATTTAGCAAGGAGGCAGCAATTCTTAAAGCTCTGTTTTTCTTTGCCTGACCGAATTAAAGAAAAATTACAGTTCCTGCAGACAGCTATGGCATCACAACAGTTATACTGCAGAGTTCTGCACTTTCTGAGGAGAGGCCTCATGTCTAGGGAGTCAGCTGAATTCAAAACTGAAGATCTGCTGGAGGACCAACTCTGGATGAATGTAACCTTGATTCCTTGATCCAATGCACCCAGCTCCAGGCTTTACCCCTGAAGAGTCAATGGATGCCGCCTAGTGACCATAGAAGCACAGAACCTCAAACACCAGTTTCTAAAATGAAACTGTATTAGTAATGCTAATTATGAAATATGGCCTATTTTCATGTTTTTCAAATTAATATAGCACAGAAATACTCCAAAGATATTTGAATTTCTGAGCGAATATAAAGCTGTTGAACTTTAAGGGGGAGAGTTTCAAAGGCACAAATGGCACTTAACTTCCAATTATGCCTTGGAAAATGTCCCACTAATGGCCAATATAGCTGATTTATTTTCATAAACTTTAATTACTTCACACTATTTCTTTTTTTTTTTTTTACTGAACAGTATAATCACTTCAGAGAAGTTCAAACACAATGTGCAAACTAAAAAGAGGATCTGCTCCAAAGCCAGGTTTCCATATACAAGTTTAATTTCCTTATCAATTCTAATATTTAGGCATCTAAATATGTGTGAATACTTGCACTTTTTATAACACCTGCATACAACAGATGTACTAGTTTACATTAAATCCAAATACTAACATTTTAACTGGAAGAGATTTTACCAATGGCATGCGGATCAAGTAATTTGGGATGGAGACCATGTTTTTGTTTTGGCTAGCATAAAAATCAGGGGCTTCTCATATTTTAGCAATACAAGCAATAGTAGCAACAAAGATATGACTCATCACAATAGCAGTACCTGGGAGATCCAGCAAGACAGAACAGTGAGGAAAACCTGTCATTTTAGGTCTCCTTGCATGCTATTCCCTTGTGCTACAGGTGTAGGCTGAGACATTTGGGAAGTATTAAGTATGATTTAGTGACAGATTTCTTAGAGCAGAAGTCCTGTTTGTTATTTATTTTTTAAACAGAAGAGTCTTAATTACGGTGTTTTACCTGCCCTGAGGCTTTCCAAGACCCTTCTGGAAAGAGCCTGCCTGCAGGCAGGGCTGTCTGCTCCGAGTCGAGGTGAGAGCAGGTGCTGTCTGCTAAAAAGCAAGAAGATATTGCCCTCTAGTGCCGAAAGCAAGCAGAGGATGAAGAGCCCAAGTGGGGTTTTAAAATCTTGTTTTCAAGATACCTTCTTATCTCATGCTAGCACAACTGAGGCTCGTTGCAGTTAGCTGCTTTGTGGGCAGACTGCACACCCAGCGAGGCTGCCCTTCCCTTCTGACCAAACCTCAGAGTCGGGCTGAGCAACTCATGAACGTCACCAAAACTGGAACACGGCCTCCCAGAGGATGCTTCAGTTGATCCAGTTTTATCTTTTGATAAAATCTTAATTGGAGGTTTAATAAGAAGCGAGATCCCAGCAAGCAGACAGAACTGCAGAACAAGGGAAGCACCAAAGAGGGGCAAATAGTCTTACAAATTATCAGGATGATTTTAACTTCTTAGTGATAATTGTGATTTCTTTTTTTATTCCTTCCTTCATCCATAAGACGCTGTTAAATACAAAACGCTTTTCTTATTCCTGTTCACTTGCGTCCATGGATAAACTACCCACCTTGCTCCCCTTTTGGCCAATTGCTGAGTGAGATACAGCAGGGTCACTGATGGAGTAGCCCACAATACAGGGGTACAAATCTCCTAGCAAGCTTCCAGCTGAGAAAGGTAAAGCAGATAAAAACCTGTACCTGGTGAAGTCACATATGGCCTCCGCAACAACTCCCTCTCTCTAACCTGCAAGAGCAGCAACGAGCCTCTCATGAGCGAGTAGACCTATTAATGCTCAATTACTTCAACATTCTGCTCATTGCTTGGTAAGTTCCCAAAAGAAGTCAAGTACCCTAGTACTAGGAGAGTGGTATACAAGGCGTTTAAAGCACAATTAAAACTTTTCACTTTCATTTTTAAGATCCTGAGCTGACACATCAAAAAGAACTGTATACCAGAGTCATAAAACATACTGCTAGACAAACTTCAATACCTTTCTTAGAAGCATTTTCCAGTTTTAGGTATAAAGTTTAAGATGAATGAAGAGTTTTCAGAATTAAACTCAAAAGTGTAATCTGAGCTGATGGAGGTGGACACATCCACTGACAAATATCTGCCTGGAAAGAGCGTTTCTTCCTTGCAGCTCAGAAATCATCCACTGCTTACAGTCTCACATTGTTCCAATAGGTAAACAATATAAATAATTCAGAAAGATGTTAATTCCTATTTAAATCCATAGAGAACCATGGCCTATTTGTTTAGTTAATTTTAATTGCCTCCGAGTCATATGATTCATTCTTACCAGTGGCAATTTTTCATGGATTTAGGTAGAACTACCAGGAATTGCCCAAGTGCTTCAGAGCTGGCCAGGCAGTCACGTTGAAGCACCTCGTGCTTCAGCCATACAGCACAGCCAGGACAGATAGAAGCCCCAGCCCTTTATCTGGAGATGTCCTGACCCAGGGCACAGATCCAGGTGCCCACCCAGCACTCACCAAACAACTCCCTTACGGTACTTTTCATGCTACATGCCACCTGCCTTTCATCTCTGAGGGAGGCAGAGGCACGCACAGCTGCACCCTGCAGTTTTAGTAACCTACTCTCATTCACTTGGAAAAATTCGTGCACAATCTTTATCCTTCCAGACAGTCCTTAAATGGACTGTGAAGTGCTGATCACTGCAGGTACAGAGTGGAAGCTGGACAGAAAAGTCCTACAACTCCTGTCCTTCAAAGTCCTCTCATTTCTTTCACTTTGGCTTCATTAGCTCCCCAGTCCAACACAGAATTTGTCTAACTCTGACAACATAAACATTTTGAAAGGGGCAGCGTGGAACATGGCTGAATATTTAATAAACATTATAGTTAAGAAACTTCCATAAACGAAGAGATACACATCCCCAAAAGGTGATGTTTAGATTTTATTTTTATATCCTAAGAATATGGGAGAGCTGTTTAATGCAGCTTATTGTAATACATCAAGAAAGCAAGTGACACTGAGTGCTCCTTGAACTGTTCATAAACTTCCTCTTAACTCAGATTACCAGTATCAATCACTGTCTTCATTAACGTGTGTTTTTAATTGCTTTATGGATTTTAGTTTATTTACTCTTCTTTTACTTCTTGTTGCAGATAATGTTAAGAGTCCTCTTCATTGATTATTGGCAGCTGCTGCATTCCAAGAAAGCCTCTTTCAATTTAGCTTTCTGGATCCTTTGACTTCCCACTCCAACAGCTTTATAACCTCCCCGACAGCTTCATAAATGCACTGCAATGGTCACATGAACATCTTGGGAGGGGAATCGGCACCTCTGCATCTCCTCGTTCCTATGGCACTTTAGGAAGAGAGAACCAAAAAAGCGGCAAGTCCGACAGAATTTGGAAGTCCTGCGAAAGATGAATCTAATTGTGAAGCTCCGCAGAAGTTTCAGAACGCTGGTCATTCTCCTGGCTACCTTCTGCTTGGCAAGTATTGTCATTTCTGCCTATTACCTCTACACTGGTTACAAGCAGGAGATGGCCCTTGTGGAAACCACCGGAGAAGCCGAGTGTGAGGACCTCAAGATCCTACCATACAGGTCCGTGGAGCTGAAAACAGCTAAGCCAATTGATCCATCTAAAACTGATCCCACTGTCCTCCTGTTTGTGGAAAGCCAGTACTCCCAGCTGGGGCAAGACATCATAGCCATCCTCGAGTCCAGCAGATTTCAGTACCACATGGTCATCGCACCAGCTAAGGGGGATATTCCCCCTCTCACAGACAATGGAAGAGGAAAATACACAGTTGTTATATATGAGAATATTTTAAAGTATGCATCCATGGACTCATGGAATAGAGAGCTTCTGGAAAAATACTGTGTGGAATACAGTGTTAGCATAATTGGTTTTCATAAAGCCAACGAGAACAGCTCCCCAAGTACAAAACTCAAAGGATTGCCATTACATCTTTTCAATAATGTAGCCCTCAAAGACTGCGTGGTAAACCCTCAGTCTCCCCTGCTGCGCATTACCAAAGCGCCAAGGGTTGAGAAAGGTCCACTGCCCGGCGAAGACTGGACAGTTTTCCAGTTTAACCATTCCACCTATCAACCTGTGCTTTTAACTGAACTGCAGACCTCCAGACCATCCCCCGCAGCATTGCCAAAGGCTGCTCTGTATGCAACCGTCATCCAGGACTTGGGGCTTCATGATGGGATTCAAAGAGTCCTTTTTGGAAACAACCTGACCTTCTGGTTGCACAAACTGATCTTCATTGATGCCATCTCTTTCCTGTCAGGGAAGAAGCTCACACTGTCCTTGGATAGGTATATTCTGGTTGACATAGATGACATCTTTGTTGGGAAGGAGGGAACAAGGATGAACATCAAAGATGTGAAGGTAAGGCAAGAATTGGAGGATGCCATCCCAGATACATGTATGTGCAAATGGGTATTTATAAAGAGACAAAGCTTGAAAAAGCTGGCGACCTCCATATCCTAGTAAAGGCTGAAAGCACACAAATATAGCTAGTAGATACAGAAACCGTAACCTGAATTTGCTTTGAAAGCCTGTTTACCCACATACACAGAGAGATGTATTCATGTACGTGTAGGTACATTGATAGAGATGGTCTCATACAGTAATTCATATGGTGAATGTACTGGTTGCCTCTTGCTTGTGTAGGTTCTGCTCAGGGACTTCACTCAGAGCACCTGGGTGACAAAGATGACTTTTTATCCCTCACATAGTAGAGATCTTTCTTCAAACTAAAGAATCTGTTTCCAGAGCAAGTTTGTTGCCGAGGTATCTGAATTTTTCAGTAACACATTTTACACTGCATGAATATCTTTTTCCCTATGAGCATACAGACATACACTTGTACATGTGCGTGGCATATGCATATAATACAATTCATAGACATTTTCTATATTCTCTCTTTCACTATTTCTGAAAAGTGGACAACAATAAAAGATGGTTACCTTTTTAAAACGTCACACAACTATCACTATGTTTAAAAAGTCACATTTTGATTTACAAGAATTAGCAGGATAATTTTCATTAGCAAACAAGCGTTTAAAGTTACTAGTGACAGGATGGAAGCGTAGCCTATACTTTAGCAAATGACATAACCATCTGATATGGTGAAGAGCCCACAAACTGTTATTCAGGGGCTCTTCTAATCTTATTTTCATAGTCTGTAGTATCCAGGGACACCATTAGATTTGTTCAGAATAATTTTCAGAGATGTGTGCAACTTGGAAAGAATAGACAGAACTCAATAGCATGACAGCTATTTCCTTGCAATTTTCCACATGTGGGAATCATCATATTCAGAGATTATTTGAAGTTCCTAAGCATGCAACATTACATTCTCAAGCCTTTATTCTAGAGGTGGTTTGTTTTTTTTTTTTTTTTTTTTCCTGTAAATACCCCAATGCTTTCATGAGCAATAAGCAAGACTTTTGTTTTTAAATGTGGATTTCTATTTTGTTTTTTAATTCTTTTTTCCATTTGTACAACTTCTATATTCATCTGCCTCCTCATCCAGATCATTAAGAGAGGTATTGAAATACACATCAAAAGCAGTAGTCTCATCTACAATTAAAACAATTTTGCACATCAGAACAGTTCGGGTAATTCTATTAGCCAAACCAGGCATGTAAATGCTCATCAGGGCTGATTTCTAGCACCAGGCACTCCAAATGCCTGGTGTCTTGAGATCTGAGCACTGTGCACAAGCTCAGTGATCAAGTGCTCTCTCTCCGGAAATATATGGTAAAATGCTCTGAGAAAGAGTTTGCATAGAAAAGGAAATTAACTGAAAAGGCAATTGTGGAACAAGTTTTTCAGCAATAGCTTTCCGCCTGCACATTTTTGAGAGCGTCTTTTTCTGATGTGCTTTCCTCTACTAAGGAAGTCTATTATTCTACATTGGTTGAAGAGCGCCTATTACTATAAGAAGAGTGTCCAGAGTCACTTGGAAATTCAAATCGTACTTTTGACTGGAATAATCTAACTAGGCAGAAAAAAAAACAAAGTCACTCCCTTTTTATCCAGCAATCAACAACATTACTAGGCAAAACTTTCCACCTGGGCTTGACAGAGCAGCTGTGCTTCATTACTCATAGGAGACACAGCAAAAACTCCAGATTCAGGGGCTTGAGTAGGAGCTGGATGGCAGAACCTTAGCTGTTAAAAGCATTCAGCATCACTTTTCTATGCTGCAAACATTTACCTATCTGAAAATTGAGCAGTCCACACCGCTGAATATCTTGAAAATAACAAGAGAAAACATGCTAGGATTCAGAACTTTTTTAAATCTGTTTTTTAAAGGCATGTGTGGTGAGTCTTCTTTTTATGGATTAGTTTAAGTCAAGGTGTGGAGGGAAGCTTTCATTCTTCCCACATTTTTCCAGTGTTAAATTAGCAGCCCCCATTTCCATGACAAAATCTCCAGTGGTGCCACTCACAGTGTAAATCCCCTCCTCACCTCAAACAAGAAGTCATGCCACAAACACCAACCACAGAGAGAAATCTTTTGCAGGCACAGACTCAGAACCAACCTTCCCATCAGGCAGTCTTCTTGGGGTAATAAAAATTTTATTTCCCTTTTGGACAATGTTCACACGTCAACCCACTCTGCCACTTGACCATCCATTGATATTCTGTCCTTAGCATCATGGGTTTCATTTCAAATCAGTTACCCGGTACAGATTTGTTCCTCAGGGTATTTCACAAACACTTGATACACAGATCAGTCCATTCTTATAGACTGGACATTCCCAGAATGCATTAAGATTCAAACCAGGATGCTTGCTAATGAACATAACACCTAAATCAGAGTGTACTTTGGTTAGTTTACAGTAAAGGATAATTACAGCCAGTTAGAGAGCAATCTCCCAAGTCACTTGGGGAAGGAGGCAATTAAGAAGAAGTGGGCCTACCTTTACCCCTAAGGCAGAACAGTTTCTTTGATTGGAAGGCAAAAAGAGGCGATATTTGAGATGCTGATATTTAAGTGATGTCAAAGTTCTGCCATGCATTTTGAAGCAGTGGCTGTGTCCAGATGCTCCGAGGGGGCTGTGTTTTCACAGCGGGTGAGAGGCTGTTTCTGACACACAGAAGCACAGTGAGATTTAGGGGCAGGTTGTGTTTGTCCTGTAAAGGGCTTCGATAGCTTTAGGGATTAGCATGGGCTCTGTATGTTGTTCAAGAATGTGGCAGAATTGGGACCATCCCCTTTCTTTCCTGAAGTGTGTATTACAGTATACTTAGCACCAACAAAACCGAAAAACAACAAAACAAACAAAAAAAGCCCTCTACAGTCCACACTTATAATGTCATATACTTCAAAACTCATTTCATCCTGTCGCCTCGATGCAAGTGTAAAATATCAGCATCACTAAAAGAAAGTATTTGTTATTTATACAGTGTTTTCAAAAACAAAACAAGAGAACCATATAAAGCAGTGCTTGTAATGAAATAGTTTCTCAAAACAGTGCAACGCACTGCATTATGCCACATCACTACTTCTCCAGTTCTTAGCGTTTGTTACAGCAAACAGCGCAGGCTCACACTGCACTGATACAGACTCTCTGCTAGGCCCTCCTAAGGTGCCACACACCTGTGTCCCTTAGGAATGTTTTCATACACAGCAGATTCCCAGGTGCATGCAGGAAAACTGCAAACGAACAGCTACACATTTCCTAAACTGTATGAAAAATGCAACTGAATAACATCACTCTGTTCAACCTCTTAGGCATTAGCTTCCAGTGACCAAACATACAATAACTGCCAAACCAAAGGACGCAGGGCTAGAAATAAGTCTTCTGATAACAGTATTTTTATGTAACAATAAAAAGACAAGTATTACTGCTCCTGTGTAATTACTTCCTGCTACTCAAATGTTTTTATCCCCTTACAAAGCCATTTCTCAATTAGGTGCTTCAATAATATGTATATAGTTTTATAAAAGGTGGCATCAGCTAGAGAAACAGAGATTAGAGAACGGAGTTATTATGGGCTCTGTTTGCCACAAAAGATCTCCTGGTCCCTTGTATTATAGAAGTAGTGCAAGGTCATATCTGGCTAAGTAATTAAACAGGAACTCAGCAGAGCCACAGAAAGCTATTTTCCCAAGCTTTGCAGAGATCTATCTTGAGCCTAGCAAGCCCCTGCAAATGAATTTCTCCCTTTCTCTCCTGCCAATATATTATCTCATTGCTTGATTTCAGAAGGCAAAAGACTCAAGAATTCATCAGTTAATTTGCAGAACTACTGAATTCGTGTAGTTGCAAATTATAGTGGTTCCCAGTCACACAACAAGTCCAGGATCATTAGCATCAGTGATTTAGCAAAACAAACCTAGAAATACCTGGTTATGCTGTGTCTAGGATTGCCATACAAAACTTTTACCTTTCAAGTTTCCTTTTAACTGAGCAGAGACAGGCAGGGCCATATTACCCAAACAGGTAGTAAGAACTTGATAAATTCTTTTTTTTTTTTTTTTTTTTTTTTTTTTTTCTGTTGCTATAGTATGAGCTAGCACAACATTTACTGGAAGAGCTCAGTGAAGCAACTAGAGCTTTTTCAGCACCTTTCACAAACACACTGTCTATTGTTAACTCAAAAAAAACCCTTGCAAGATCACAATACAAGCTATGGTTCTTACTCTTTAATAAATAGAAAAAGTAAAACATAACAAAAAGCATTAGCCTTTCAATTTCTACCCCTCCTCTTAACTCCGGGGCCTGCCCTGCAGCACAGCTTCCCTTCTACAGCCTTCTTCCAGGTGGAGTCTCTCAGGAGCCACCTGCCTCACTCTCTTCTCCCACTCTCCCAGCTGGAGCTGATAATCAAAGAGAAATTGCCTGTCCCAGCACCACCATATCACAAAATCCCTTTCTCTAAAAGATACTCTTCCCTTTTCTGTATTCCCTCTAATTGCTGCCATAAGGACAGGAGCATGCTTGTGCGTTCTGAAATACTATAAAATGATGGTGCAGTGCTTGGGAATGCCCTTTGTGTTACTATTGACTGCAGTTCCCCCTTCTCCTTGCAGAACCAAATAGCCTGTCTGCATTTTCCCCTCTTCTTCCACTCTAAGTTTCACTCCACTTCAGTAGAAATAAGAATTACATTAGTCTCTGACACCTCGTCACTTCCACAAGTCTGCACTTTTTCTTAAAATGCTGTGAACACTTAAAGGCTGTGATTTCTTGCTCATTTTAGTATTTTAAAGACAGGAATTCATGTTGGAGTTGCATCTTTTCTGATAATTCCAAATTAGAGAGTACTGGCTCAGCAGGAGGCTGAGCTCAACAACTGAATCTCTCCAGCATATGCTTTTTCTGATCTTTCTGCAAGGACAACTGCTTTCAGGTGGAATAATAAGAAAT